GTCTCTCGCTCATCTCTCTTCTCTCTATCTCTCTTATCTCTCTTCTCTCTTTGTCTCTCTTCTCTCTCTCTCTCTTCTCTTTATCTCTCTGCCTCTCTCGCTCATCTCTTCCTGTCTCTCTCTCGTTTATCTCTTTTCGCTCTTTTTCTCTCTCTCTCTCTCTTTGTCTGTCTGTTTTCACCAATTTTTTCATTTTCCACTCTCTTTTGTCTTTCTCTCTCTTACTCATCCCTCTTCTCTGTCTGTCTCTCTCTCTCTCTCTGTGTCTCTATCTCTCTTATTTTTCTCTCTCTCACTCATCACTTTTCTCTGTCTGTCTACAACTCAACCTCTCTCTCTCTATCTCTCTCGTTCATCTCTCTTCTCTCTATGTCTCTCTCGCTCATTCTCTCTTCCTCATCTCTCTCTCTGTCTCTCTTGTTCATCTCTCCTCTCTCTTTGTCTCTTTTTCTGTCTCTCACTCTCTATCTCTTTCTCTCTGTTCTCTCTCTCTCTCTCTTTTTCTCTTCTCTCATTCTATCACTTCTCTCTGTCTGTCTGTCTGTCTTTGTCTCTGTCTCTCGCTCATTCTTCTCTCATTCTCTCATCTTTTTTCTTTCTTACTCCCTATCTTTTCCACTCATCTCTCTTCTCTCTATCTCTCTCTCTGTCTCTCTCGCTCATCTTTTCTCTCTCTATCTCTCTCTTTTCTATGTTTTTCTCTCGATCATCTCTTTCACTCTCTTTCTTTCTGTTGCTCTATCTCTCACTCATCTTTTTGTTTCTCTCTATCTCTGTCTCTATCTCTTCCTCTCTATGTCCTCTCTCTCTGTCTCTTTCCCTTTCTGTCTCTTTCTCACTTATCATTCTTCCTCTCTCTTTCTCTCTCTATGTCTGTCTAGCTGTCTCTCACTCTTTTATCTCTCTTTCTCTCTGTGTGTCTGTCCGCTTGTCTGTCTCTCTCCCCCATTGTGTTCACCTTGCTCACTCTCTCCCTCTTCTCTTCTCTATTTACCGAGCTCTTCACTACAAGAAAATGCACTTTTAGTCTCTCTCGCTCATCACTCTGCCTCTCTCTCTATCTCTCTTCTCTATTTGTCTCTCACTCATCTCTCTCTCACCGCCCATCTCCTCTACCATATTCACTACTACTGCAAATGTCATTCCACTACCAGCATTATTACCATTGTTGCCACTCCACCTCTACGACTACTATTACTATCACCGTCGTTATCACTCCACTAACACTACCACCACTAGTACCACCACTACTACTACTATTACCTCTCCTCTACCGGCACCACTCCATCTCTTCTACCACTACCACAACTTCACCACTAATCTCCTTTGCCACCACCATTACCTCTTGTCCATCACCTTCACCACTACTGCCGCTCTCTCTCCTCTACCACAAAAGTTTAGTCGGCAAAAATTTAATTTCAGCAACTAAAAAATATGTTAGTCGCGGTATAGATAGTTTTGGCGACTACATTAATGAAAAATAAAAATTCACTTTTTATCTTTGCACGACCAAAATTTTGGTCGGCAAAAATTTAATTTCAGCGACTAAAAAATATTTTAGTCGCGGTATAGATAGTTTTGGCAACTAAAATAATTTTCTAGAGCATGTTCAACTCTCCCTAAAAACAATTTGAGGTATAAATATCCCTCTCTTTCTATCTATCTCTCTCGTTCATCTCTCATCCCTCTATCTCTCATATCTCTTCTCTCTCTATCTCTCTCGCTCATCTCTCTTCTCTCTATCTCTCTATCTCTCTATCTGTCTCTCTCGTTCATCTCTCTTCTCTCTCTGTCTCTCACTCTCTATCTCTTTCTCTCTTTGTCTCTCTCTTTCTCTCTCTACTCTTTCTCTCTTTCACTCATCACTCTTCTCTGTCTGTCTGTTTGTCTATCTGTCTTTGTCTCTTTCTCTATTTGTCTCTTGCTCATCTCTCTTCTCTTTATCTCTCTTCTTTCTCTATCTCTCTCGCTCATCTATCTTTTCTCTATCTCTATTTCTGTCTCTCTCGCTTATCTTTCTTCTCTCTCTGTCTCTCTCTTTTTCTATGTCTTTCTCTCGATCATCTCTTTTTGCTCTCTTACTCTCTCTCTTTGTCTATCTCTCGCTCATCTCTTGTTTTTCTCTCTTTTTCTGTCTGTCTGTCTCTCTATCTCTCTCTCTATATACATATATATATATATATATCTTTCTCTCTCTCACTCATCACTCTTCTCTCTTTCTTTCTCTCTCCATGTCTGTCTTTCTCTCTCCCCCATTGTGTTCATCTTGCTCACTCTCTCCCTCCCCTCTTCTCTATTTACCGAGCTCTCCACTACAAGAAAATGCACTTTTAACGACCATTTTTTCTCTCTTTCTTTCTGTCTCACTCATCACTCTGTCTCTTTCTCTATCTCTCTTCTCTATCTGTCTCTCACTCATCTCTTTCTTACCACCCATCTCCTCTACCACCTTCACCACTACTGCAAATGTCATCCCACTACCACCATTATTACCACTGTTGCCACTCCATCTCTACGACTATCATTACTACCACCATCGCTACCACTACCACCACCACCACCACCACCACTGCTACCACCACCACCACTATTACTACCACCACTACTATTACCTTTCCTCCACCACCGCCACTCCATCTCCTCTACCATTACCACAACTTCACCACTAATCTCCTTCGCCGCCACCACCGCTGCCACCACCTCACCTCTTATCCACCACCTTCACCACTACTGCCGCTCCCTCTCCTCTACCACAAAAATTAGCTCTTGATTTTTAGTAGCAAAAAAAAAATGGGCCACAAAAAAAATTATTCATCGAACATAAAAAATTAACTTTATTTTAACGAAAAATATTTTTCATTAAAATTTTACCTCTATTTCTATCAAATAAATAGGACCTATTGGTAGTTTACCCAAGAAAATATTCATACCTAGATCTCGATTAGCACATATGACTGTAAGCCTTGTGGTGGTGATACCACAGAGCAACTCATCAATAGCTATAGGCTAGGGCTAGGGCTAGGGCTAGGGCTCCACATCGATTGAGTTGTCATCAGTTTGACTAATTTGATGGTGGGTCCACTGTTGTTCTATAAAAACAAGCCGACCACGCTTGATCTTATTCTTTGGCTGGGGATTAGAGCTGGTGGAGCCTCCACTGCTTGCTTTTCGGCTTTGTTTACTTCCATTGGAGATGGGCTTCATGTTGCGGTGGCCAGTGGCGAAGCTAGAAAATTAAGTTAGAAGGGGCAGTTATTAATTATAATTTGTTATTTTTAAAAAAATCATGATCAATATTAAGATAAGAATAATTTTATAATAGTATGTAATACATCGGTGTGGGATGGTAATATTAGTTTCTAATTTTGGCACAAAAATTTACCAAGTTTCAAAATTCCTAATTTTAGAAAATAAAAACACATCATTTATAGCACAAAATATTATAAAATCTATTTAATTTTTATTTGACAAGAATTATTAAACAAATCTTATTGGTTATAAATGATGTGTTTTGAACGTAAATTATTACATAGTCTTCGAGTACCATATGGTGTTGCCTATGCAATGCTCAAAATATGAGAAATCACAAATTACACTAAATAGTTTGTCAACAACTTCAAAATAATAACTTAATTATATTCAATCCATAAGATTTTGTACTACACTATTGGTTTAAACTACTACATAAATACATTTTGTATATGCCCACAAAACAAAAACAAAAAAAAAACAAAATTGGAAACATCTGAAAAAAAATGAGTTGATAATATTGAAAACATCTGTAAAATTTTTAGCGACCAAAATTTGGTCGCAGATCTTAAAACGACCCCGTTTGAATGTTATTTAAGTAAATGTTGATTCAATACCGACCAAACAGTTTTGTAGAGAAAAAATTGCCCTATCAGCCGAGTGAATTTTTCAAACTCTTTATACCGTCACTCCTGCGCACCACTCCTCATACGCACCTCATCGTCGATTCTCCTGCTCGATTGTGTTCAACAAAGTCGCTCCTCCTCCGTCATCGCAGTCGCCTGTGTCGATTTTTCGACCAAGCATCAGCAGCGCTTCGAGAAGTACTTGGGCCTCCATTGTTAATAGAAAACACTTTTTTTGAGCTTTAAGTCTTTTCCTTTTTTATTTGTTATGTTTCTTTCTCTTAATAATATCAACGATCTTCTTGTTTATTTATTTTATATCTACAATTGTGGTTGTCTGTTAAGGCAACTTCATGCTTTGGCAGAGGCTGAATCCAAACTTTCTATTCATCATAAGAGATTATCTGAAATTGAAGCTAAGGTCAACCTTAAATATTACCTCTCTTACTGAACAGAAATACTCGAATAAGAATGAAGTGGATAAGAATTAAGAAAGGAAGAATAGAAAACACTTTTTTTGAGCTTTAAGTCTTTTCCTTTTTTATTTGTTATGTTTCTTTCTCTTAATAATATCAACGATCTTCTTGTTTATTGATTTTATATCTACAATTGTGGTTGTCTGTTAAGGCAACTTCATGCTTTGGCAGAGGCTGAATCCAAACTTTCTATTCATCATAAGAGATTATTTGAAATTGAAGCTAAGGTCAACCTTAAATATTACCTCTCTTACTGAACAGAAATACTCGAATAAGAATGAAGTGGATAAGAATTAAGAAAGGAAGAATAGAAAACACTTTTTTTGAGCTTTAAGTCTTTTCCTTTTTTATTTGTTATGTTTCTTTCTCTTAATAATATCAACGATCTTCTTGTTTATTTATTTTATATCTACAATTGTGGTTGTTCTTTAATTTTGCTCCTAAGAGGTTATGGTTATTCCAAAAGCCATATAGAGTATAATTGTTTCATCATAAATTTTAATCAGTGGATAGTGCTGGTGGCATTCTGTATCTTAACACTAAGCAACCAGTCACAATGCTTAAATGCTGATTTTCCTTTATTGTTTTCTTCTTGCCTTGACATTCAGATCTCTGAGCTCCTTACTCTACAGAAAAATTTTAAGGACCTTAAGGCACAGATGGAGCTCAAGTCATATGATCTCTCACAATTCCAGAGTAGGGCTGAACAGAATGAACATCATAAGGTTGTGGTTTTAGCCCCTAATATAACATCTTGAAGTGGGAATTTAAGTGCTGTTTAGCTTAGTCCATTTGTCAGTATGATACCTCATTCTCTGTTTCCTGTACCATTTTATTTATTTACTTATTGGGTGTATTGTAGCTTTGTGAGCTTGTAAAGAGGATCGAGCAGGAGCTTTTAGAAGCAAAATCTGCTGCCAGTGAAAAGCAACTTTTGTACGAAGAATGTATAACTACAGTGTCATTGCTTAAAAAATCAATCTGTAAGAATACTAATAATCGGGATGCCAGGCTCAAAGATTTAGAGAAAAAGATTAAGGCAATAAAAGCTCAGGTGCAGTCAGCCTCTAAGGAACTCAAGGTAGGTGTTGAAATTGCTGACATTTATCATAAAATTCCTAGTAAACCTTGTGCAAGCAACTTAACTTACCCATTTTTACAATGGATTTCCTGCCTTTTCATTTATATGCAGATAACAACGGTGATTTTTTTCCCGGCATACTTTAATGCAAGTTACGCTTGATTTCATTCTACAGAGGAAGATGGTCCTTTGTTGGCCTTTATAATAACCCTGACAATGCTAGAGTATCAATGTTTGCCCCCGTAAACTTGATGCGACAATGGCATGTAATGACTAATAGCAAAATAGTTACCAAATTGTTTCTATCAGATGAGAAGTCAAGAGTTCTGAGTGTATGTCAGCATAATGCCTGAAAAGGCCAATGACATCAACTGTGTTTATCTTTAGATTTCACATATTGTCCTTATTCTATTTAAAAATATTTTGTATTTTTTAGAATGTCCATAGTGTTGGAGATGAGATTCTATTGTCAAAGATATCAAAATATATGAAGATCCCATTGATTTGTGCTTATTATGACTTTTTGAATCTTTGATTTATTTCAATTCCTTAACTGAAGGGATTTGATTGTATCTCACACTCTATATATATGGTGTATCGTGTAAACAAGAGTATGAGTTGAGTGAATGAAAGATATAGTCCCTTAGGGCTATGTGTGTGAATGTAGGCCAATATTGGCCGAACTACGTTAAACCTTTGTGTTCCTGCTTTTCTCTCTCCATATTCAACCTTATTGCCTTGTTACCTGTGTTACATGGACTCGCCACTTTGGGGCGAAGTACCCGTGTCGACACGACATGACACGAGTGCGGGTGTGGGATATGTGTCGGATTCGCCTGTCCTCTCTCGGACACGGCTCTTCATAGACAGATAGCAAAAGAAATGAAAGAGGAGAGAGCAAGAGAGAACCTGGTCGAAGCTCATCCAGTCGAAGATCGAAGACCTCCAGTCGAAGCTGCATCCGGTCGAAGATCGAAGCTCCATCAGTCAGTTGAAGCTCCATCCAGTCTCTCTCTCCCTCGCGATTGCAATCGCGATCGCTTCGCTTTTCTCCCTCTCTCCCTCTCTGTCGTTTTATCTTCTTGATTCATATCTCTGTCTTCTCTATCTATTCGTATCCATCTATTATTACAATAACTATAATAATAATAGTTAACAACTAATAATATAATAATAATAGTTAATAACTACAATAATAACTATTATTATTATTATTATATATTATATAATAATTATTATATAACATATAATATATTTATGGATGCCACAGTTATTATTAGTATATAACTATTATATTATCTATACTTATACATATTAATAAAAATAAATAAATATGTATATAAAATAAAATAAAAAAATTAATTAGAACATATTATTTAAAAAATATAATAAATAAATTAAATAATTAATGTATATTAAAATAAAAATATTTATAAAAAAATATATATAATATAACTCATCTTCATAGGATTTTTATTTGTTATTTATATAATATAACTCATCTTCGTATAATAAATATATATTTTTTTAAAAAAATTATTTAACGTATCCCCGTACCCATATCCAAATTTGATATATATCCACGTATCCTTAATTTTTAATTTTGAAGTGTCCGACCCTTAGATACGCACCCACACCTGATACCCGCACCCGAGTCCGTGTAACATAGCTTGTTACAAAATTCAACTAATACATTCTGATATTGTTGACAATATAATCTTATCTTGGACAATATATATATTTTTGGATAATGTGAACTTCAAAAAGTAAGTTTTCCACATTTATGACTTAATTAAATGTGGAAGTTTGTTAAATATGGATAGAACAAATACGAGTCAATCGCTTGTCTTTTTATGATTTGCTATCTGGTTAGTAAGTCACATGCATACATATGATGCAATTATTTTCTTGGCATGTATTTGTCCTCATTATCTTGTTCACTACAATGATAATTGCAACACGCCCCCAAGCATTGTGAAGTTGAGGTCTGCTTTATTGATACGAACATTTGATGTTTTTCCACTACGATGATAATTGCAACATGAACACTTTGTGTCATGTTTTGCATGGAAATGGTCGCTTTTAATTCCATACAAATTGTCTTCAATAGCGATTATCGATTACATTCATAAAAATCTTAATAATGACTTTGGAGTTCCTTTTGACTTGGTCATGCTTGTGAGTAGGGGCATGCTAATGAAAAGGAGAGGCTTCTCATGGAAATGGAAGCTGTCAAACAAGAATATGCATCCTTGGAGAGTCAGTCAGTTTCTCTGAAGCAGCTGATTAACAGTCTTACTTCAGAAGTAGATGGACATAAAACCAGGGTAAACAGCCATTTCATTTTTTTGCAGTTAGTGATTCACCTCAATTTCTTCCCCATCAGAAAAAAAAGAACTGCTCCACTTTCTCTTGCAGATTGCTTCCATAAGAAATGCTCATGATCAGGCGCAATCTGAGCTCAATCTTTTCCGCTCAAAGATGAAGGAGTGTGATACACAGATTAGTTGCATTCTCAGGAAGCAGCAGGAACTTCAACACAAAATTAGTGAGACAAATCTTGAGAGGAAGAAGATGGAAAATGAGGTAATGTGCCAAGTGGCTCATTTATTCTCTCCACTTTTTGGCTAGTAACCCACTTTGTTTTTTTTCTTGTATTGTTTTGTGGCAGGTAAAACGAATGGAGATGGAACAGAAAAGTTGCTCCTTGAAGGTCGAAAAACTAATAGAGAAGCATGCTTGGATAACACTTGAGAAACACCGATTTGGAAGAAGTGGGACAGATTATGATTTTGCATCTTGTGATCCTCATACAGCAAGGGAAGATTTTGAAAAGCTACAAGCTGAGCAATCAGGGTGTGTATCTGAGAAACCCTATCTGTTGCTTTTACACTATCATCAACATTTTTTGACCATGTTCATATGTACAAATTGTCATTGTCATCCATGAATCAAGCAGGAGTTCCTAACACATATTTTTGTCATTTCTTTTAGCCTTGAGAAACGGGTTAACAAGAAAGTCATGGCAATGTTTGAGAAATCAGAAGACGAGTACAACGATTTAATATCAAAGAAGAACATTATTGAGGTTTGTAACTTTGAACTGTTATAACATTATTGTACCAAAATCTCTTTACTTGTCCTGACTTTGTCTTGCATAGAATGACAAGACAAAAATCAAGATGGTGATTGAAGAACTTGATGAAAAGAAGAAAGAAACGCTGAAAGTTACTTGGTTAAAGGTTAACAAGTAAGTTAAAACTAGTAGTTTATGTCAACAGTTTTCATATATTTCTTCTAGCTTTTGAAAGTACTGAAACCTATACTTACTCTTTAAGAATTTGTACTTCTCTTAGTGATTTTGGATCCATGTTTTCTACACTATTACCTGGCACAATGGCGAAGCTAGAAACTCCTGAGGGAAGTACCTTCTTAGACGGTCTTGAGGTTTGTGTTGCATTTGGAAGTGTTTGGAAACAGTCCTTGTCAGAACTTAGCGGTGGACAAAGATCTTTACTTGCACTTTCTCTGATTCTGGCACTGCTTCTGTTTAAACCAGCTCCACTTTATATACTGGATGAGGTACATAACTTGTTTAGTTCTTAAAAAGAGTGGTTGACACGTCTTATCTCTAATATGCTCATTCTATAAGTGATGCATGTTATTTTGCTATTAGATGAGTTTGATTTGTTGTAACATATGACGTCCTTATTTTATCCTCTCTCTCCCTCTCATCTTCAGTTTTGTTGTTTCTACTGTCATTTGACAGGTTGATGCAGCTCTTGATCTAAGCCACACCCAGAACATTGGAAGACTGATCAAAACTCACTTTCCACATTCACAGGTTTGATATACATTCTTGTGGTCACTGATGTTCTCTACTTTTATTTCTATATTTTTTTTTATTAATCTATGAACTTGCGGTCAGTTCTCAAACAATTGAAAGTTTAGTAGTTCTTCCCAAAATGGTTTAGCTAGTTTTGGATAGATTGGGTACAAACCTAATTTACAGCTCTTCTTGCACCTGAAAAATCTTATTAAATTATGTTTAAGTACTTCTCAAGTTTTAGTAGAAGAGAACCAAGATGTTTCCGATGGGTGCCAAGAATAAAACCTAACAGCACCCTTAATGGTCTATTAAATTATGTTTAAGTACTTCTCAAGTTTTAGTAGAAGAGAACCAAGATGTTTCCGATGGGGAATGTTGATGGATAACATCCTCTTACTCTCATTTCTTTATGAACGTATTCAACTTGTTCAAAAATGTTTTTACTGCTATCAGAAGCAGAAAATATTCACTAGTAAGTCTACAATCATGCTTCTAGAAGTTAATAAAACAGCTATTTTCAGTCACTAATTATCATGCAGTTCAAAAAATTTAGTAACTGATTCGTGATAGTGTTAGCCAATTTTCCATATTTCCTTTGGATCTTTTGTTATAACCATTTTTTCAATGTGGTCTTTGTTATATTGTTCTGCAGTTCATTGTGGTTTCTTTGAAAGAAGGCATGTTCAATAATGCCAATGTTCTTTTTCGGACAAAGTTTGTGGATGGTGTTTCTACTGTGCAGAGAACAGTAGCATCTAAGCCAAACAAGTGATTCATATTCTCTGAGGATCAAATCTCAAACTGGTAATTTATCCTTAACTGAATGACATTCACTCTTAGTCAAGTAAACTGTTTCTCAAGTAAATATATTTTGGTTTGCTTTTGTTTGTGAACTTCATCTATACCATTGTATAAATGGAACATCCCTTTATTCTGAAGCCATGTCACATTTCAGTTTTTTCAAAAACCCAACTATTTAAATTTTGGCTTTGTTTTCCTGTGAAGTAAGGATATGGTGGGAATTTGGTTATATTCCACTTTTTGAGGATTTTGAAAAGTGGGGTAATTGAAACAAGGATGGTGTGGAGGCTAGTTAACAGAGAAATAGATATTGTTTAAAATAAAAATAAAAAAGATCAAAAGATAAAATTTCATTGATACTGCATGCTCAACAGTGTGTGCCACTGAAGGCTTAGGGTCAGTTTCCCTATCATTGCACAGATGAATTTTGTTAGAAGCAAGGGAAACATAGTTGTGTCTGTGTGTATATCTGTCTAAATCATTCTCTAATTATATACTTCCTTTCAGCCGCTGGTACTTGTCATGTTAGCCTCATGATTACCCTCTTATAAGAATGAGCAGTAATGTCCTTTTTTGGTGATGCTAAGCTAATTGCAATGTTGAACATGTATTATCTTTTGAGAGTGGGGATGCAGGTATATTTTGCTTGTGTCTATGCTAATCCTTACAGTTTGTGGAAGTAATTTTGCTTTACCGATCCAAGTCTAACTCTGAATTATGCCTTTGATGGGCTTGTAGTTGTCGGAATTATGCCTTTGATGGGCTTGTAGTTGTCATGTTAACATCATGGCCTATGTCCCACTGGAAAAAAGCTATAACAAGCTTTGTTATCAGAATCTTATGATTCGCGATTCGATTCACGATTCGATTCGTAATTTTTGCAAAATCGATACGAATTTAAGGGTGAATCTATTTTGGAAGTGAATCTCTAGTGAATCACACGTTTCACAATAGGGATGGCAATGGGGGTTAATGGGGTGGATATTAATTCCCCATCCCCATTCCCCTATAATAAATTTTTTCCATTCCCCTATAATAAATTTTTCCCATTCCCCATGGGTACCACCCTCCCCGTTTCTTAATGGGTTTGGATTTTCCCCAACCCACTTTAATCCCCATTTTTATTTTATTTTTAGAATTATGCCTTTGATGGGCTTGTAGTTGTCATGTTAACATCATGGCCTATGTCCCACTGGAAAAAAGCTATTACAAGCTCTGTTATCAGAATCTTATGATTCGCGATTCGATTCACGATTCGATTCGCAATTTTTGCAAAATCGATACGAATCTAAGGGTGAATCTATTTTGGAAGTGAATCTCTAGTGTTAACAACCACTTTTTTTTTTCTTTTTTTTAAGGTTCATAACAAAAGCTAAATATACCTTTAATCTTTTTTCTTTCTTTTTTAATATATTTAATGTTAACAACTTTTCTTTTTTTTCTTTTTTCTTTTTTTATTTTTTATTTTAAGGTTTTAGCTAAATATACCTTCAATCTTTTTTCTTTCTTTTTTAATATTTAATGTTAACAACTTATTTTTTTATTTTTTTTAAGGTTCACAACAAAAGTTAAATATACATTCAATCTTATTTTATTTATTTGGTTCAACAACAAAATCAAATACACATTAATTAATTAATTAAAAAGTTTGTTTTATAATAATCAAATATATAATTTTGAGACAATCAAATAAGTTTTAGTAATTGAAAAAAAATGTGGAAGAACGTGGAAGATTAAAAAAAAAATTACAACCATCTCTCTCACTCTCACTCTCACTCTCACTCTCACTCTCTCCCCTACATGTTATAAGAATCTGTTTACAATGTTATAAAAGCCTGTTTGAAGAAATAAAATGTGAAAGAATCTGTTTGAAGAAAGTGTTATAAGACCCGTATTAAATTGCATTAGGGCATAAACAAGGAATTGTTTGTTGATCTCTTAGCCACGAACATTTTAGACATTAAACCATCTTTCTCTTAGCAAATTTGAACCATTCATTTTAATTTATCCAAAATCTAATTATACCTTTAACAAATCTGAACCACTCATTTTAAGATATCTATGCATTACCACACCCAATCCATCCTCCATCTTTTTCCTTTAGTCCCCCACGAATTTTGTTGTTTGTTACTTTTAAAAAACAAAAAATTGTTTTTTCAATTAAATATATATATTTTTGGTCTTCAATGGGCTTTTTAAAATTTTGAGGGGCTTTCAGACAAGTTCTTCGAACTTACAAATTTGAAAAAAAATCTACTAATGACAAATGAAAATTGATTAAAAGAATTGCTTCCGAACGAATGGAGGAAGCAAATCTCTATAATCTGATCAAATTTATCCAAATTAGGTTTGTCAATTATTGGATCAACCAGATTTAGATTTTAATTTTATAGCTTTGTTTGTCAATTTCTTAATAGTTTAAGCTTTTGGGGAAATTAGTTTTATAAGTTTTACATTTAGGCGCCGTTTGTTTCGAAGTAAAATATTTTACGCAAACAATATTTTTCTTGTAATTTGATTTTACACAAAAAAATGTTTTTATTTTTGTTTTTCGGCATTTGGTTGACACTTGAAACAAAAATATTTTAAAAGAGAAATTTTGATTCAGTAAAAGTCAAAAGCAAAACAAAAAAAATAAAAAAATAAAAACAAACAACGAATTCAGTATATATATACATATATAATATACAAAATAGCGTACCTAGTTTGTGAGAGGGAGATGCGAGGAAGATACAAAATAGAGCTGCGCAGTGAAGAAAGAAAAAGAAGAGATCTAAAAGAGAGGAAGATTCGAAGACGAAGAAGAACAACGAAGTGAGAGGAAGATGCGAAGAGAGAGGAAGATGCGAAGAAGAGGAAGAACAGCGTACCTGGTTTGTGGCTGCAAAATCTGAAATTTGATGTTGAATTTCTCTTTTCCCAAGTTGTATTGCCCTAATCGCAGGTCTGCTTCCTTTGTTTCTCTGCCTCTCTCTTTTTTTTTGCTTATGATTTTGCTTTCAAGTTGATAAAAAACCCTTCAAATCTGGATCGCATGGAGTCGCGATCCAGATACGATCCCACCGATCCTTTCACGATCCCACCACGATCCTGATCTAGGGTCGATCCAAAGCACGAGTCGGATCGAATGATATATATTAGATCATAGGATCGTACGATCCTGCGATCCGGATCGCGATCTTAACAACCTTGGTAAGACTTTGTATCCCCTTTTTGTTTTTCCAGCAAATAAATCTTTGTACCCATGCTTTCTAACCAATCACGACTCATGCTTGTTTCGATTCTCTACAATTTCCTTATTTTCAAATACATTCATATATATATATATATATATATATATGTTGTATAAATTGTATGATAACATAAAACAAATAGATTCATACTTGTTACTTGAAATTTCAGAACAAGCAAACCATTCTGAAAATTACAATACATAACAAAATAAAATAACATAGAAAAGCAAACCGAAACCTGCACTAGACAGTGTCCTTAATTTTTTTAAATAAGTTTAAAAATTTCTAGATATGCATAAAATTTGACAAGAATAATGTGACAATGTTAATTAATGTGTATTTGATTTTATTGTTGAGCCAAATAAAATAAAATAAGATTGAATGTATAGCTTTGGTTGTGAATCTTAAAAAAAAAAAAAAAAGGTTGTAAACCTTAAAAAAAAATTAAAAAAAAAAGAAAAAAAAAGGTCATTATTTTTTAAAATATAATAAAATTATGTCATTGTAATTATTAGACTAATCTAATTTTCTTTTGTAAATAATTTTATTCACTCAATAAACAAGCTTAAATATTTTACACATAGAATAAATTTCACAGACCTCCTTTCATGTTTGGGATGAGATCAATCTAAATCGAATCCGTTTGTGATTTTTTGATTTTTTTGCTCAGCCCTAAATTAAAGTCACATGGCATGAATTAGGAGATTTGGCCTAGTGGTTATGTAGCACCACTCTATGGAGTAAGTCCAAATCCTATAGAAAATAGTTTGATATTCTTTGTAGTGCTTATTTTTCTGCCATTATTAGGTTGTATAAAGTTATTTATTTCTTTTTAAATTTGGGCTAAATTTTCCATGGTAACTGTGACGGAAAAAATATGAGTCTAGATCCAGGTCCACTTACATCAGCCAAAAAAGAGGAAAGGCCCAAAATTGGCTCCTTAAGCCCATAAAGGACTGTTGGATACAGATATAGGTTCGTGAACAGTTAAGTGCGAAGATAATCATTGGATTGAGCTTCAATCCAACAAATAAGAATACATATTAAGAAACCTAGAGATGTAGGCTCGGCCTGGTTGAAGGTAAAGCCGTCTGTCAAAAAAAAAAATTATGAATGTATCCCCGCTGTACCCGTATCGTACTTTTTCAAATTTTGACATATCGCCATATCCACATCCCCATATCACCATATTCGTATCCGTGTTTCCTAGGCTATCATTGATGACTTAAAAAAGTATATTTGCTGAAATTTTTATTTAAGAATGGTTTTTTGGCTTTAGCTAAGGTCTTGTGATATTCAATGATGAAGGGGAACAAATTGAAGCTATTGACCTTGAAGACTCTTAGTTTTATAGGAATCTTTCTTCTTTATCAAGTTGTCTTTTGCTTTAGATTTTATTTTTATGCATACTGCATTACTAAAAATTGTTAAAATAATATTTTTTACGAATGTATCCCCGCCGTACCCGTATCCTAGTTTTTCAAATTTTGTCGTATCGCCGTATCCGTATCCGTATCGTATCCGTATCCGTATCCCGTATCCGTATCCGTGCTTCCTAGTATATATATATATATATATATATATGAGGAAATTAGTGGGTATCCATCCCCAACTTATCCCCTGTAGATATTTAAAAAATATCACTTACCCTACCCAATAGATAAGAAAAAAAGGGGAAAACTCATGTATTTGGGTTGGGTCTTCATGGATACCCACAGGGTAGGTTATCCATTGCCATTCCTAATTCACAATTGATTCACGATTCGATTCACTTGTTACGATTCATGCAATTTTTAAAATTATTGTGTCCGACATATTTTCGACTCTATTTTTCCTCCTCTTTTTTAGTAAAAATGACATAATACAACTTCTAATAGCGTTTAATACCAAAATAACCGGCGTATATACATGATTTTTTGTTATTTTAGTGATCATGAAGTTTTTAATAAGATCCAATTAAATTTGTAGTTAGACCTAACATATTTTTAATCTTTCTTTTCATTTTTTTTCCTTTAAAAAATCGTAATATATCTTCTAAAGATGTTTAAGATTAAAGTTACACAATGAATTATCTGTTGCTATTTTATTAAATTGAATATTACATGTGTGAGGTAAGTTATACCTTTTACAGTTACACTATGAATTATCTATTGCTATTTTATTAAATTGAATATTAAATGTGTGAGGTAAGTTATACCTTTTAAAGTTACACTATGAATTATCTATTGCTATCTTTTGTTCATTGTTACTTAGAAATGTATGTATGCTTATTGTCCAGATATCAATATCGTTGTTAATTATTTTTATTTTAGAATTGATAGTTTGTCTATTTGGTTGTTATCTTTATTCAGAATGGTTGACAAGAAATATCTAAAAAAGAAAAAAAGATAAGATGGCGATTTTACATAGGAACCTTTGTTAACTTCTTACCTATGAATCTACGTGATTATCATTCAAAATAACATTTTTATTGATTTAAGTCTAAATATTTTATATTCATAAGATATATTTAACATCTAAATGTGTAAATATATGTTTTTAAATAATTTAGAAGAAGTGACCGAATCTTTACGATTCACGATACGAATCCCGATTTGACAACTATGATAACAAGTTTTAATAGAAATTTTAGTCTATGAAAATTTTGTTCTGGTTACCAGAAAACTAGAGAAAGTAAAAGAAAACCTGAAATTTTTTACCTTAAATCTTTCATCAGTCATCCCCTGTGACCAATTGTAATGCTTTATAATTAATCAAAATCTTAGGGTTATTATCTTGTTGATGCTTGCTAAAAAATCAAGTATACTAACATGTAGATTTTGCTGAATGTATTTTTTTCTAGTCTCTCTTGAGCTTTTTTAGTTACTGTTCCTTTTTTTAGCTTTCTCACAAATAAATATGAGACATGATATGACTTACAATTTAGATAGTTTTATGAAGTTTAGGAACTTGAGCTTGACATTCATGTGTGCTGTTTATGAATATAAGCTTCATGTTAGACTTTGGCTGTTATTAATCCTTGTAGTTATATGAAAATTCCTATATTGTTCTCTAAATCGACAGCTATTTTCAGTAGTGCTCATTTTTAATATTTTCAGAGTTCACTATTTAGTAATTTTGATAAATGCAGATGTAACCATATTGTATTCTGATTCAATCATTTTAATGTCTGTTGATTGATAGCTTCAGGGACCTCTGCAGTGGTTTCAGGTAGGTGACAGCTGGTGTACAATCAACTATGGACCGATCATGTATTTTTTGTATCTAAATGTATATGGTGTAATGTAAATTATCATTAGCTTCTTTGTATTTTGGTATTTAGATAGTCATAACTAGTTAATCCTTCTGATGTAATTAAACCTTATTGTGGTCGCTCTACAGATGCTTCCCCTTCTACTCTCTGGCCTCTTTTGGCAATGTAGTAGGTTGAATTGTGATTCATAATAAGGAACATATATTTACACTTAATCATTATGTTTCCGTCAATGACTTTAACTTCCAAACAAACTGGATTATTATTCTGTTAACTATGTTTTCTGTTATCTAACTGGATCTATACCTCTGCCAAGTAGAGGTACTTTACGTTAAGGGTTTTATTTATGAATTAGAACATTCATTGTCCGTAATTAAGGTCAGCTTTGTTCTGTCTTCCAAACGATGGTGTCTGCTTTGTGAATTTGTAGAGCATGATTGATAATTGGATATATGGTACTGTAAATCTTTACTAACACAAGCTTTGAACTACCAAATGGTGCTATATGGTGATTAGAACTACATGTCCTAATGGGTGAATGATGATTCACATTTTTGTTTCTTGTTTTTATGGGAAGGGGAAGCTTGAGAATATCCCAAGCGATGATTTAGATAACGAAGGACTGACTGCAGGGTTGATAGTTATTCTGGGAATGTGCTTCGTCTTCCACCATGATTGCGAGCTGATGATTCTTCGCCTGTATGTTTTGAACACTATTGGTACTCATTAATTGTCTTTGTTTTTAGCACTGTAAGAGTTTCAAAGTCTAATTTCTCTATTTGGACCACCAGTGCTGGCATGTGTATATATAGATCGCTCAATTAGCCCAACATGTTCAATTGATGTATTGAATGCTTGCTTGAATGGAATGCATGTTTTGATCTCTGAAATAACTTTTATGGTAGAAAGTGGTTATTTGTGCATGTAGCGGAAACAATTGGAATATATATTTGCACCAAACTCATTTGGGTATGCTCTCAAATATATGTTCTGAAGTTGTTGGGATCAAATACACAATTTGGGTTTTCCTTTTCTTTATAAGGAAACAGCTTTTAATGCATTATGGAGAGTTTCAAATTTTCTTTCCCTTTCCTTTCATATTTTTAGGCTGTGTTGGTTTATAGATTTGTTGGAGATTTGGAAAACAGTTGTGACAAGAGATTATAAATACGTCAAGTAACTTTATTATTATAATTCAGGTAATAATTCAATAAATAATTTAGGAAACTTCATTATTTTATAAGAAAACAGTTGCATTTTCTCAGATAGTTCTATTAAATAAAAAGATTCTGATAAGAGAGTATTTATAATTTTACAAATCACATGGGGTAATTTGTATTTTGAGGAAGGTGTATTTGTCATTTATCCTACTTTTATACATGAACTTGACGATATATTAATGAAATATCAATCTCACTTTTTGAGTAAATTTCTTAATCAAAATTCTGCACTTGTAGAGTTTTATTATTGCGAAATATCCCCTTCAAATCTCAATATACTAGAATGAGAATGAACGAGACAGACCATGATGACCCAACTTTAATATTATAGCCTTATGAAAAAGGACAATTGAAATTTTTATTTTTATTTTTTTAATTTTGTTTTATATTTTCACGTTATAGTGTAAATATTTATATTGGTATGAATTAGTTTTGTTAAAGCTAGTTTTATATTAATTATAAATTGTGAACATTAATATTGTATTTTAATACAATAATCCTTTGTACCTCGAAATCACTGTGCCCCGAATGGCTCAACAGTCCAAAACGACGTCTTTTTGGATTGTTTTTTTTTTTTCCCCTCATTTTATGTCTGAAGCAGAGCAGGGAGATGAGAGAAGAAGAGGAAGAGGAAGAGAAAGAGAAAGAGAGAGAGAAGAGAATAGAGAGAGAGAGGATCGATCGCCGTCGCAGGCGCCTCCGATCTCCGATTCTTCTCCTATTTTTTCTTTTTCTTTTTTTCTAGTTGATTTTATCTCCGATTCTTCTCCGATCTCCGATTTTTTTTTTCTAGATGATGATCTGAAGAAGATGATGTTCATCTGTTTTCTCTCTCTCTCTATATATATATTTTTAGTTGTTCTGGATCTGAAAAAAATTAAAAAATTAAAAAAAAAATTGTTGATGATGATGATAATGGTGATGATGTTGATGAAGATGTTGTTGATGTTGATGAAACCCAGCTCCCATCTGTTCTCTCTCTCTCTCTCTATATATATATATATATATTTCTTAGTTGTTCTGGATCTGGAAAAAAAAAAAAAAAAAATTGTTGATGATGGTGATGATGTTGATGAAGATGTTGTTGATGTTGAAACCCAGCTCCCATCTGCTCCTTCTTCTCTTCTTTTTCTTCTACTTCTTCAGCTTCAGAAAAACGTGGAAAAAAAAAGAAAAAAAAAAAAGTCGGGCCATTTGAGCCATACCAATTTCAAGCTACCAACCGGAATTGTATTTTAGTATGAATTTTATTTTTTCGAAAGTTAGTTGTATGTTTGTTATTTATTGTGAACATTCACATTCACATTGTACTTTAGTTTGTGTTTTGTTTTCTTCAAAAGTTAGTTGTATGTTCGTTATTTATTATGAACATTCATATTATATTTTGATTTTTATTCAGATTTTTTGTTAGGTTAATTTTAAAATTTTCAAATTATAAAAAAGTTCAAAGTTCATAATTTGAGATTTTCTACATGTAATGTGAGAGAGATTTTCTCCATGAAATAAAGGAAAGATTTTCTCCTTAGAATAAGAGAGATTTTCTTCATAAAATGAGAAATTATTGTTATGTATTAGTTTTAAAATAGAAACATGTGCAAAAAATTAAAAATGATGATTTGTTCATATTACATCAAACAAAGACTTAATAGAATACTTAAAAAACAAATTTATCAAAAAATGACCCAAAAGTAAGAGACAAGGGAAATTAAAAAAAATAAAAAAGAAATGGAGGCGGTGGATATGCATGAGATCATACAGAAACATGCCAAAATCCTAAAAATCACATGACAAGGATTTTAAGATTCCTAACATGCCTGCCATGCAATTCACTTTGCTAGCTATTCTCCTAAATAAGGTTTGCAAATGAATTGACTTGTTTATAATTTCAATTTAATAAAAGTTAAATTTGATTTAATTTGGTCGAATTTGATTTAATTTATTGAGTAAAAATGAGTCAAGATGAGTTTGAGTTCAAGTAAACTCGGCTTGTTTATTATTTATTTAAATAATATGAAAAATATATTAAACAAAGTAAATAATAGTCAAAGGGTGTGTTTGATTAGGGGATACAGGGGGACTATTTACTGTGCGGATTGTAATCCGGAGGAAGTATCCAATCCGCCATTTGTTTTTTTTTAGTCCGCCGGATATGGAGTCCGGTCGGACTCCTTATCCCCCATATGGAGGACTATTGTGTCCTGGGGGGAGGGGTGTGGGATAATTTTGGGAGGGACAATCCACTATTGAGATTAGGTGGCAAAATGACCATTTTGACCCTCTACTATTTAATTATGTATTATATTTAGTAAAATTCAATAAAATTTAAATGTCTCAATTTAAAAATAAAATAATTTTATTTAACTTTTTATTGATGTTTTATTTATTTAATTTTTTTAAAATAATTTTTTATAGATATTTTGTTGATGTTTTATTTTAAAATTTTGTTTATATTTTATTTAATTTCATTATTTAAATGTTAATAGATGTTTTATTTAATTTCATTGTTTAATTATTATTATTTTTAAAAACAAAATTATTTAAAATTTTAATTAAAAAATAACATATGTTTTTATTGATATTTTATTTATTTTATTTATTTAATTGTGTAAAAAATAAAATAAAATAAGTTTTTATTTAATCTAGATAAAAATAATTAAAATATTAAAGATATGTTTAATACTGCTATTATTTAATAAACTATTGAAAAATGGTAAAATAGTCTTTTGGTCATTTATCCTATCCAGTTCGTCCAACCAAACGTTGGATTGACTAAAAATAATCATTTCCAGACATCTAATCCCATGAAAAAACAAACACAGGATACATATCCAATCTAACCAAATAGTCCGGGGATTCACAGACTCAAATCCGATGGATTCTAATCCCCCCTTATCCAGTCTGTCCAATCAAACACACCCAAAAAGATTTTCACTATTGAGTTTGGAGTCGGGCTTTAATTAGGGGTGTTTAAAAAAATTGGCAGAATCTGTAAATTGATCTAATCTGATTTAAATTGTTGATTTGGTCCAATTTTTTTTTTTTTTTTTTTACTTTGATTCTAATTTCGATTTTAAAACTAGTTGAATTGTTCAAATCAATTCGGTTTCGATTATAACGTTTTGTTTACAGTTTTGAATACTATTTGTTTTTTATTTTGTATGTAAAAATAAAAATAAAAGTTACTCAGGATTGTTTGGAAATGTACTAAATAAGTGTACTTATTTGAATATGCATATTTTTTTCGTAAAAATCAAAAATATACTAAATAAGCAAACGCGAACAATCATAATTGGAAAATTGACAAATGTTAACTAACGTAACTAAACAAATAAAGGAAAATTTACAATCAAGTCCTATTTTGACAAATAATGATACCTTAGATCCTACTCACAAAACTTTAAACCCATAAGTTCTCTGTTAATTTTATATGATCAATCTATCATTACAAATTCAAAAACACAAAACACCCCCATCTACCTGTCTCTCTCCCTCCTCTCTCTATCTCCACAAATTTCAATTTTTTCTACTTTTTTGTTCACAAATTCCAGAGCAAATCATCAAACATCGATATCAGTTGAATTTTCAAATTTGAAGTCGTTTCTCTCTCTTTATCTCCACAAAATTCAGATTTTTCTACTTTTCATTCACAAATTCCAGAGTAACAAAGCTAGAAGATCGTCTACTATTATCAAACATCAATTCAATTGGAACATTCTCATATTCAAAGAAGCAAAATAGTGAAAATAAGAGCTCTTGTTGCAAGTGGTCTTCGACGAGCTTTTGAAAATCACTTCATTTATTGATACCTCGAGGTTTGCAAAACTATAATCGATGACATTATAGATCAACTTAATGATTCGAGACATTTTAGATTCAAATATCTTAAACTATAATTTTTTAGGAAATCTTTTCAGTTTCGAAACTCTTGTTTTTTTATTTCTATTTCTATTTTGATTTCGATTTCAATTTCAACATTGATTTTGGTATCATTGCTC